CCGGGCCCGCCTCCAGCCCCACAGGCCGCTCGGGGGGGCGCTCGCAGCCCGGGCCGCTGATGAGGATCCCTCCCCGGCTCCGACTCGGGCTCGGATTCGTGGTCCGGCTCGGACTCCGGTGGGGAAACAAAAGAGCCGCGGCCGCCGGGCCTCTGAGCCTGAGACGCCGGCGCAGGCGCAGTGCGCTCCGAGAGGCGGAACACGGGGCGGGGCCTGGCGGGGCGGCCGCGCTCAGTGGGCTGCGGGACTGGGGGCGGGGCGGCGCCTTGTGGGGGCGGGGCCTGGCGGGGAGGCCGCGCTCAGTGGACGGTGGGGCGGGGCGGGACCTGGCGGGGGCGGGGCTTGAGCGGGCCCGGGGCGGAGCCAACACTGGACTCGCCCCTTGGGGGGCTGCAGGGGGAACTTGGAAGGGGAAGGGAGACCGTGCCCTACGTCCCTCGCCGGCTGCCTCCTGTCTGCCCAGGCACATTAATAGCTGGACGTGCCATGTGTAGCCCCAGGGCTAGGGGCTGCATTGAATAAATTCTTAGAGGGTCACCTGGCCGTTTCAGTCTGTAGAGCACGTGACTCTTGCTCTCAGGGTCATGAGTTCAAGCACCATGTTGGGCATAGAGCTTGAAAAATAATAAAAATGAAATAAAATCAGTAAAAAAAAAAAAGAAAAGACAAATTCTTAGAGAAGGGCTGCTTTACAGGTGATGCATTTTAAATCATATTGTTTCATAACAGATTGTCTGCCAAATGGAACCAAAACACAGGAAATCGGAGGGAAAGTTTAGATAAATCATTTCATGGGGATAATACACAGCAGATTCTCAGACACAGCGCTAAATATACGTGTACTTAGGTGTAAAGTGCTCCAAAGTTTGTAATTAACATGCAAAACAGTGAACTGGGCTATTAGTTGTCATTTTAGAAAATCGCTGGAAGGGGGTGTGTGTACCAGACCTCCACGTATGGACAAGCACATATACGTACGTACCTGTACGTACCACATAGTGCTAGGTTACATATGCATGTATAATATATAGCATAGTGGCTAAGCCCTGGCTGACCATGAGCCAGTCTTTCCGTATATATTCATTCATGTATTCCTTACAACGATTCCATGAGGTACTTGCTATTATAGCACCATTTTACAGATGAGAGCATTGAGGCCCAGAGAAATTAGGTGATGTGCCCAAGCAGGGCAAAGAGCCAGATTCTCACACAGGAAACTGTTAACAGTGGCTGCTTCGGGAAGGGTCAAAGTGATGAGGGAGCATAAGGCAAGCCGAGAGCAAGCAGGACCTAGCAACACCCGCCCCGCCCCCCTCAGGTGGGACCTGTGTGACAATCCTCTGGCACTCCTGGCTGTCCAAGGACAAAGGAAAGGGCAGAAAACAAATGGTTAAACTGATAGCTTCTCCATCAGTTTACAAACATCTTAGTAATATCTGGAGAAAAGGGCCATCTTATCAATAGCCTGACATCCAGGAACTTAGTACTGTCTTAATGCTAATGCTTTGCTAGAAGGAAAACAGCCTTAGCTTGACAACAGCCAGGCCTCCAGTGATCTGTGGGTCTCCTTCAGCCTACGAAATCCCTTTAAGAAACTTCCCCTTGACTTTTCCTCCCTCAGCTTCATAGGATGTAACCAGTCACCTCTCACAACCCCAGTGCAGCTCTTCCTGCCCACGGGTCCTGTCCCTGAGCTTTAATAAAATCACCTTTTTACACCAAAGACGTCTTCAGAACAGAGCCTGATACAGGACTCGAACTCACGAACCCTGAGATCAAGACCTGAGCCGAAGTCGGACACTCGACCCACTGGGCCACCCAGGTGCCACTAGGGTGAAATATCCTTATGCTCAGCTACTGCTTTTGTGAATGCAGAGTACCCACAACCCCCTCACTGCCCTCAGCATGCAGTAATGGCCCTGGGTGGTCGCACCAGCCTGTGGATGCTTCCAACAGGCAGCCCCCCCCCACCCCCCGCTGCCTTCACAGAGCCACCCAGCAGCTATACCTCTTGCTCCCCTGGAAGTAATCCCACTTAGCATCTCCTGGAAACCCTGGGCCTGCACCCAGGCCCTTCTCCAGGCCCCAGGACACACAGGTTCCTGACACTGGACTGCGGCCAGAGGCCACCAGAGCTGGGAGGGACAAGGGGTCTCCTGGCCAAGCCCCTTGTTTTTCAGTATGAGGTCAGCCACGGCACCCCTGGGGTCACTTTCCATTCCCTCCGTTGTCCAGGACCAACTGCGTTCGCCCAGGCCCCCCAGAGCTGCCGGAGCAGAGTAAGAGGGCTTCAGGAGTGGGTGGAGATGGGGAGATAAGAGGGGTGATAATTGCACAAAAGGTCATGAAATTGCATCAGAGGAGAGTGTGAAGAATAGGCAGGACAGAGGGTGGGGGCACAGGGTTGCCGGAGGGGGCTAGTCTCCGGGGCATGACCCCAGCCTGCCCTGGGAAAGAGATTTTCCAGGAAGGACAGTGAAGTTAGGGGCGGGCTGGGGTGGGGGGAGGCTTTGCATTTGGAACAGGTTACTGAGCCCCCAAGGGGAGGCCCCCCAAGGCACCCAATTCCAGCTCCTCGGGCCCTGTTGGTCACCTCCAGGTTCCTCCCTTCTCTCATCGTCGGTGCTCATACCCTCATTATTCAGATTCCATATCTGCAAATCTGTGCACTCACTACCTTTTGCTGTGACCTCCAGATCAGAACTCACAAGGTTTCCTGGGCGTACATTCCCAGCTGAGGGTGAGTGAGCAGGCACCCTGACCCTCCGTCCGGGGCGGCCCTCTCCTACCAAAGGGTCCGAACGAGAACTATGTGGGCTGCCTGTAGGCAACACTATAGGAACTGGCTCTCACAGCCACAGTGACCCTCGGGGGTAGGTTTGATCCCTATTCCCACTCACCTCAGGGAGGAGAAACTGAGGGCCAGAGAAGTGAAGTGACTCACCCCATGTCACACAGCTATGCGGCCGCTCGAGGATTTAAACCCGCACCCCCTCTGGCTCCTGCACCGCATCTGTCTCCAAAGCAAGGACTCGGTCCTGTCCATCTCTGCCCTCCAGTGTTCTGCCCGAGACCCAGCAAACAGTAAGGAAACTTTATGTTTTTATTTTATTTTTTTTCAGTTGATTTATTTATTTTGAGAGAGAGAGAGAGAGAGAGAGGGAGAGGCAGAAAGGGGGAGAGAGAGAATCCCAAGCGGGCTCAGCACTGTCAGCACAGAACCCAACGTGGGGCTCGAACTCGTGAACCATAAGATCAGGACCTGAGCCGAAGTCGGAAGCCTAGCAGACTGAGCCACCCAGGTGCCCCGGTCTGAGAATATTTTATTTTGTTTTTTAAAAATGCTTATTTATTTAATTTGAGAGAGAGAGAGAGAGAGAGTGAGACGGAGAGCATGAGTGGGGGAGGGGCAGAGAGAGAGAGAGAGGGAGAGAGAGAATCCCAAGCAGGCTCCGTGCTGTCAGTGCAGAGCCCAACGTGGGGCTCGAACTGATGAACTGGGAGATCAGGACCTGAGCTGAGATCAAGAGCTGTATACTTAACGGACCGAGCCACCAGGAGTCCCAGCAGTGAGGAAACTTTAAAAGGAAGTTGAACGAAGTTTAAGCCTGATCCCAAGAAAGACCCCCTCGCTCAATGTACAGAAACACTCCACCTTCCGCGGAGATGACACCCACCCAGACAGGGCTCTAGTGCCCACAAGAGGAAGGGCGAGTGGCTGTCATTTCAAAGGACCTGGAGGTGGGTCCCCAGGGCCTTACGGCACGAGCGAGAGTGAGGAGGGGTCTGCGATCAGTCCGTGATGTCTGTCGCGGACGCTGGGGTGTGGGGTGGTCCGTGTGCCCTAAAACACATGGAAGTCCTCATTCTCGTGTCACTGTGATTCCCAGGGTGTCGCATGTAATTTTCAAAAAGTTAAAAACTCTCCTAGAAATATGGACAAATCAGGGACTGGAGGTGTATTTAATTCATTAAGGAAGGGCCCAGCAGGCCGGTAAAGATGGTTGCTGGATGGGGGCGCCTGGGTGGCTCAGTCGGTTAAGCGTCCCTCAGCTCAGGTCATGATCTCACGGTTTATGGGTTTGTGCCCCACGTCGGGCTCTGTGCTCACTGCTCAGAGCCTGGAGCCTGCTTGGGAGTCTCTCTGCCCCTCCTCTGCTCATATGCTCTCTCTCTCTCTCTCTCTCAAAAATAAATAAGTAAACATTAAAAACAGGAAACAAACATAACTTGCAAATTTACCATCTTAGCCATTTTCAAGCGTCTAGTTCAGGGGCACCAGCTACACCCGCACCGCCCTGCGGCCACCGTCAGCCCCCAGCACTTTCTCGTCCTCCCGGCCTGATGCTCTGTCCCACCCCACACTGACCCCAGCCCCCGGCGCCCACTTCTACCCTCTGTCTGCTCTAGGCCCTCACGGAAGGGGAGTCACGTGGTGTTTGTCTCTTATGACGGCTCCTTTCCCTTCGCGTCGTGTCCTCCGGGTTCGTCCGTGTAGTCGCGGGTGTCAGAATTTCCTTTTTTTAAAAAAAGGTTTTTTTTTGAAAGGTTTTATGTATTTTTGAGAGAGACAGAGTGCGAGCGGGGGAAGATCAGAGAGAGAGGGAGACGCAGAATCCGAATCAGGCTCCGGGCTCCGAGCTGTCAGCACAGGACCGGACACGGGGCTGGAACCCACAAACTGTGAGATCATGACCTGAGCCAAAGTCAGATGCTTAACCGACTGAGCCACCCAGGTGCCCCTCCTTTTTTTTTTTTTTCTTTTAAATAATTTCTGTGCCTCATGTGGGGATTGAACTAGCCAGGTGTCCCAGAATTTCTTTCTTTTTCCAAGGCTGAATAGTATTGCGTTATGGGGATAGACCACATTCTGACTGTCCGTTGTCCATTCATACGTCGATGGACCCTGGGGTTTCTTCCACGTTTTAGCTGTTGTGAATAAGGCTGCTGTGAACAAGGGATGTACAAATATCTCAACATCCTGCTTTCAACTCTGTGGGGCACGTCCACACAAGTGGCAGGGTTGGATCACAGGGTACTTCTATTTTCACTCCTTTGAGGAGCCTCCGTACTGTTTCCCACAGCGGTGGCCCCAGTTTGCACTTCCGCCGCGCGTGCACGGGGGCTCCCCTCGCCCCCCATCCTCACCAATACTTGTTATTTTTTGAGTTCTTAAAAATAGACACCCAAGTGGGCGTGAAGTGGTTTCTCGCCCCGGTGTTGATTTGCATTTCCCTAAAGATGAGCATCTTCTTGTGCGAGCGCTGGGCGTTCGTTTGTCTTCTCTGGAAAGACGTCCGTCCAGGTCCTCTGACCCGTTCGGGTGGTTTGAGGTCCTCACCTTATCGAGACACAGCCCAGCCTGTTTACTGTGCGCGGCTGCTTCGGGCCGCACCTGCAGGGCTACTGCAATGATCTGTGCAGTGGCAAAGCCGTATTTGCCACCCGGCCCTCTGGGGAAGCTGTGTGCCGACCCTCGCCTAGAATTGCTAAGCGGTCCTCGGATGGGCCTAGTAAATGACACTGCGGTAGGACAGTGAGAGGGCACACTACTGTCGTTACCAGGAGTTCCACTCAACTCCTGTCCCTGTCGCCCTGCCCACAAGGCTCCCTGCTCCTCAGACCTGGCTGACACTTTGCCGGCGGGGAGGTGGGCCTGGGGGCAGCGTCCTCCCCCACCCTGACCACCCCCTCACCACCTGGCTCTGGGTAGCCGAGAGGGATGAGGTGGGTCCCCTCCAGGCGCTGGGCGTTTCAGTTACCTCCTTGGAAAGTGGGAGAGGCCCCAAAGAGAATTAGGTAGAGCGATGGAGAGGAGCCAGCTTCTTCTAGAAGAGTCCTCCAGAACGACAGGGCACCTCCCTGCCCCCCGGTCCCAAGCCGACTCCTGCCCTCGGGAAGCGCTACTGAAGTCAGAGCTCATTCTGGATAGGACTTTGACTTCCTCCGGGGGAACGTAGGCAAAGCTTCTCAGGGCACAGGTTAGATCTCAGGCCTCAGACTTTGTTTAAGCAAAGGAAGGATGTCCCCCAACCCCACCCCTGCCTTTGCTCTGGAGGTGGTGTTGGTTCTGAAACTCTGGGGGGGGGGTGGGGAGGGACTACACCTCTTGGACCCCTACAGGTGGGAAGGTGACAGCCTGAGGGCTTCCAAGGAGGCTCCCGGCTCTCCCGCCCTGGCCTGGCCCGCCAGCCCCCTCCAGCCCCGGGCCCAGAGGGAAGGGCTACACCTGTGTCCCTCCAGGCAGAGAATTCTGGTAGCTTTATAACTCAAAACATGAACTTCCCTAACAACCCAGAAATCCTGTCCCCATGGGAAAGGGGGGACATGGGAAAGGTCCCGCATGGGAAAGGTTTCACTGCAGCTAACAGCCCAGAGCTGGAAACGAACGTCCATCAGCAAGAGAAGGAAAAACAAATTGTGGGAATATTCTCAACAACCCGAGGGTCTAGACCGAGTCCAGCACCCGTGTGGACGAGCCTTAAAACTCTCCATGCACAGTACAGGCAGCTGGACACAGAGACCCCGACGGATGTCAGCGTCCACTGGCGGGGCTCGGTCACCGCGATCACGAGACCGGATCCCTGCTCTGGGGCAGAGGGATCCCTGGGTCTCGGGGGGACGGACGTGTCCTGTGGTGACTGAGGTCGTGCTGGACACATGGCTTAAAACGCACTGCGATGTTAGCATTTCACCGCGAAGGAGGCGCCCCTGGGTAGCTCCCACTGTGGCTCAGGTCATGATCTCACAGTCGGTGGGAGCCCACGTGGGGCTCTGGGCTGACAGTGTGGAGCCTGGTTAGGGTTCTCTCTCCCCTCTCTCTTGGCCCCTCCCCTGCTCACTCTCTCTTCTCTCAAAAATAAACATTAATTTTTTTTTAAATCATGGATATGAGTTACACCCCATGAAGTTCATTTTAAAGGGAGGCACTGACACGTGACGCCGTGTGGATGAACCTGGAAAGCATCCTGGGAAGTGAGAAGCCAGATCCCAAAGGCCGCGCCTTGTAGGATTCCTTTTGCGTGAAATGTCGGGACTGGGCAAGTCCAGAGACAGAAAGCAGGCTGGTGGCTGGCAGGGGCTGGGGGGGACAGGGAGGGTCTCCCGGGCTGGGGGCAGGTGGGCGGGGCCCTCAGGCAGGTCTGGTGCCAGCGTCCTCCAGGGCCCGGAGGGAAAAGGACTGAGCCACCGGCGGGCGTGGGGACCGCACGCTTCCCCCGGCATCTCTTCCCACACGGAGGGTTCCAGTACTTACCCTTCAGCAGCTCCCCAATGAAGCCCGGACTGGTCCCGCAGAAGGCCTTAGCGGAGGGCCTGGAGGGGTGACTCAGCCTGACTCGGACTTGAGCCGCCCTGCTGAGGGAGGACAGACAGTCACGCGCCTGGCAGGACATCTTACAGGTATGCAGAAACCCGGCCGGCCTGAGTCACCACAGGGCTTGGACAGGGACAGGCCAGGGGCTGGGGCTGCGTCAGAGTCCCCCCCACCCAGCCCTGGGCCCCAGCCCCAGAATTCTCCCAACCTGGCCTCGCTGCCTCACCTGCTGTCCAGGTGTTTCTCCGGGCCCACGCTGATGCCCCCTACCGCCTCCCCTCCCCACCTGCTTCCTGCCCCCCGCCCCGCCAGACTCCAGGAGCGCCCCAGGGCCCTCCACACCCTCGCTGCCTTCGCACCCCGCTCTGTGCTGGCGGGCACCGAGGCAGGTGGGGGCTCCTGTGAGTTGTTTAGCCTCAAGTGGGTTGCTGAATTCATGGATTTTCATAGTATAAACAGAGTTAACTCCAGGCTGAGGAGTACCACAAACCAAGATCCCTCCAGGCAGTACATCTGAGGTCCGGTTAGACTTTTTTGAGAAGGACAGCTTACATAACCGTGTGGAGACGGGTCTATTTGTCGGACGCTGGCAGGCTCAAACGCCAGAAGGTCAAAGGTCACATGCTGCACAGCCCATTCCGTGGCCTGTGTGGGATGGGTAAGGGCAGAGACAGGCAGGTTGGTGGCTGCCGGGGCCCGGAGCAGGAGGCCAGTGACCAGTGACTGCTCACGGGCCCAGCGCTTTATTTTGGGGTGGGGAGAATGTTCTGGAACCAGATAGACGTGGCGGGTGCACAACGCTGGATGTGCTAAATGCCACCGAGCTGCTCCCGGGTTCAGTGAACCGGTGGTCTTGTACCATGGAACCACCCCCCCAAAAAACCCAGACGTGTCCTGAGCGAGGGTCTGGCCTGGGGGAGGTGCCCTGAGGGGCAGGCTCTGCTCTGAGCGGTGGTCCTGCCACCCTCCGCATTTCACAGGTGAGAAAGCCGAGGTCCAACTGGCCCAGGGTCTCCCACTAGCACGTGTGAGCCTGGATGTGAGTCCGGCGTCCGTGCGCCACGGGGCTGGTGTGACCCAGCACCGATGTCAGAGGCCCCAGATTCTTTTTTTAAAGCTTATTTAGGGGCGCCTGGGTGGCGCAGTCGGTTAAGCGTCCGACTTCAGCCAGGTCACGATCTCGCGGTCCGGGAGTTCGAGCCCCGCGTCGGGCTCTGGGCTGATGGCTCGGAGCCTGGAACCTGTTTCCGATTCTGTGTCTCCCTCTCTCTCTGCCCCTCCCCCGTTCATGCCCTGTCTCTCTCTGTCCCAAAAATAAATAAACGTTGAAAAAAAAAATTTTTTTTAAAGCTTATTTATTTATTGAGAGAGAGACAGGGACAGAGTGCTAGTGGGGGAGGTCAGAGAGAGAGGGAGACACAGAATCGGAAGCAGGCGCCAGGCTCCGAGCCATCAGCACAGAGCCCGATGATGCGGGGCGCGAACCCATGAACCGCGAGATCGTGACCTGAGCCGAAGTCGGACGCCCAACCGACTGAGCCCCCCAGGCGCCCTGCCAGACTCTTTTTTAAAGGTTTATTTATTTATTGAGAGAGAGAAGGGAGGGGGGCGGAGAGAGAGAGACAGCAGGGAAGGAGCAGAGAGAGGAGAGACAGAATCCCAAGCAGCTGTCAGCCAGGAACCGGATGCAGGTCTCAATGTCACGACCGTGAGATCATGAGCTGAGCCGAAATCAAGAGTCAGACGCTTAATCGACTGAGCCCCCCCAGGTGCCCCACCCATTTTCTTTTAACTACAGGGGCAGCCAGGGGGCTCAGTCGGTTAAGCGTCTGACTCGTGATTTCGGTTCAGGTCGTGGCCTCACGGGTGGAGAGTTTGAGTCTAGCGTCAGGCTTTCTGCTGTCAGCAAGGAGCCTACTTGGGATCCTGTCTCCCTCCCTCTCTGCCTCTCCCCCACTCTCAAAATAAACAAAAGTAAACTGAAAAAATGTACGTTATAATTCGTATACAATCTTAAAGCGAACATTTCCACGGCGTTTAGTATGTTCAGAGCTGTGCGATCACCACCACGAACTCCAGAACATTTCCATCCCCAGCAGAAGAAACCCCATCCCCATGAACAGCCGCGCACCTGACAACCCCCAATCCCCCCTCTGTGTCCGTGGCCCTGCTCTGAGCACTCTGTGGGAGGGATCACACGCTACGCGGCCTTTTGCGTCTGGCGTCTTTCGTGCTGCGTGAGCTGTGGCGCTTTGTCTGCACCGGAGCTGGGTCGGGCCTCATCCCTGTTTCCTGCTGAATAATATTCCCCTTTGTGGGTAGACCCTTTGTTTTTAACCGTCAGTTGACGGATATTTGTTTTCTCTACGCTTGGCCGTTATGGGAATGGCCGCAAAGCGAGCACGGGAGAGACCCACCCGGGCAAGGCCCGGGGGCCCGCATCTGGGGTGGAAGAGAAGCCCAGGAGGCATCGTCTGGCCCCCGCGCCCTGCGCTTCCCGCCAGCTCCCCTGTCGTTAGGTGGGGACTCAGCCTAGGTAGGGATGGTGATTGGTGCCCACTGAGGGGCCTCTGCTTGGGCAGCCTTTGCCCGGGGCATCTCGGCTGCCTCCTGCTGGTCCCGGGCACGGCTGACAGTCCGGCAACAACCCCCCACCGCAGCCACTGATGCTTCCCGTGGGGTGCCAGCTCCACCCTTCCTGCTGCTCCCGGTGTCCTTGACCCGCCCTTTCGAGCACATCTGGAAATCCCGTCGGCTCTAGATTCAAAACAGATCCAGGATCTGGCCATTTCTCCCCCCGCCTGCGTGAGTGTCCCTGACAAGTCAGCACGAAGTACAATGACTCCTCTCACAGCTCGGGAGGCCAGGTCCCTAAACCGAGGTGTGGCAGGGCTGTGCGCCCTCCTGAACTTCTGGGGGCCACGGGTGTCCCTTTCTTGTGTCTGCATCCCTCCCATCGCTGCCTCTGTCTCCACGTGGCTTCTCTGCGTCTGTGTTTCTCCTCTTGTCGTAAGAACACCCATCACTGGATTTAGAAACATCTCAATTGAACATGACCTCATCTTAACCAGCACATCTGCAAAACCTTCTTTCTAAATAAGGCCACATTCTGAGTTTGCAGGTTGACATGAATCTTGGAGGACATTATTCAGCCCAGCACGAGACCTCACCCAGGTGGGAGACAGGCGTACGGTTCTTTACAACCCCCAACAAGCCCACGTCACTCCGCGCAGGACCCAGCTCTTTGGCACTGGACACCACGTGCGTCCCTCCTCTGGCCGTGGCGCTCCTGCCAGTTCTCCTGCCCCAGGGCCTTTGCACTAACTTTCACTCTGCCAGGAGGGAGCTGTCCTCCCCCAGCTCTCCCCTAGGTCCTGGTCTCCCCACTTAGGACTGTGAGGCCCCCTTTCTCCCAGGGCCCCTTTTGCCATCTAACAGACCCTATGCTTTACTTACCATGGTGTTTATTGTGTGTCTGCCTCACTGGAACGAGCACTCCAAGACATGAGGATTTTCCAGAAACTACATCGGTACCTGGCCCTCAGGAAGCCGTTGGAGGATATTTGTCGTGTGAATGGTCACGTGCACTGTCCCTGTCTGATGTCCCAGACCTGATGAAGTAAGCATTACCGTCACCCTACACCAGTCAGCATCCCGGTGGGGAACAGAGCCCTACTCCAGAGGCATCACTGGACCTTAGGGGCCTCGCAAGGCCTGCAAGGCAGGGCTGGGGCTGGGGCCCAGACAGGAGGCCTGCTTGCAGAATTCAGTGCTGGGAGGGCAGCGGAGGTGGGGACTAGGGGCCCCTGTGGCCCAGGCCTCTGCTTGGCCAAACCCAGGAGGGACCCGGCTCCAGGAACCGGAGACCCATCCGCCATTCCCAGGTGTGGACAGAGATGCCACAGGACACCTGCCTCGGGGGAGGAAATGGGGGCTCTGGGCAGAGCCGGGGCTCAGGCAGAGGCCTCGGGGCCCTGGTCCAAGCCCTGCATCACCAAGAGCCTCCAGGCTTGGGAGAAGTGTCCGGAGGCGGGAGTCCAGCCTTCAGACAGGGCAGGGCGAGGCTCTCCTGCGGGTGTCCAGGATGGGAGCTGAGCTCTGAACCCACACGCCTACCACACCCATCCTCCTCCTCCTCCTCGGCCGGCACCAACCCTCCCTCCCTTTCCGTAACCAGGTGTGGGGCCTTGGGCGACTTACTTTCATCCTTTTTAATTGGTTTCTTCTCTGTAAAATGGGGCCATAATCTACTGGAGTGCTTCCAGCTTCCTGGGTGCTGGGCACCCCGTGGGCATGCGCCTCCTGCCTTTTTGGGGTCAGAGCCCCGAATCGGGTCCGGCTGACCAGCTGTCAGTAGAAGAAATGCTTTAGCCTCCGTGTTGGAGCTCTGGACGGCTCCTCCCGAGCTGCTTCCCCTGGCATCTGAGACGGCCCCGGGGAGCCCCCCGCCACCCCTGCAACGACCTCATAGCAGGAGCAAGCAATAAAGCGGTAAGCTTTTGAGTCGCTGCGCTCCGGGGAGTTGTTTGTTACTACGTGTGACCTGGCCTGTCCTGACTGAGGATCAAGGAGCTGACTGTTCGACACGCTGAGATCGGCGCCCAGCACACGCACATACCCGGCAGGTGATTCAGGGAGTCAGGCGGCCGTGCGGCCCCGACGTGTGTGCCTGACGTGTCCACTGTGCTCCGTGGTGAGCTGGCCCTTGCGGCCCTCTCCGGCCCCGCCCATGCCGGGCTCGCCCACCACTGGACACGCCCCCGACGCACTGGCCCCGCCCTCGGGCCCGCCCACACAGGCCCGGCTCCTCCCCCGAGCGCGGGCACTCCAGCGGGCATCTCCCCAGGGGCCTCCTGGGCGCCCCTTGGGCCTCAGCCCAGACGTCCCTCCTCCCACCAGAGCCGGTCGGTCTACGCCGTGTGACCCCGCCCTCCTTTACCTGCGGGACCTGTCGCAGGGTGGTGGGTCCCAGCCTGTCACCGAGTTAAAGGTGTGGGAAAAAGGGGGCGGTCGCAGATTAAAAGATTTATTGGGTTGGGGGGTGGACCAAATGGGCGAGGGGCACTAAGGAGGACACTTGTTGGGATGAGCGCTGGGTGTTCTCTGTAAGTGATCAGTCACTAAATTCTATTCCTGCAACCATTATTACACTATATGTTAACTAACTCGGATGTAAATTAAAAATTAAAAAAAAAAAAAAGATTTACACACATAAACACGTGGCCCTGGACCAGGTCTTTGGTTGTAAAACGTTTGGAGGAGGGCGCCTGGGCGACTCGGGTCATGATCTCATGGTCTGTGAGTTCGAGCCCCGCGTCGGGCTCTGTGCCGACAGCTCGGAGCCTGGAGCCTGTTTCCGATTCTGTGTCTCCCTCTCTCTCCGCCCCTCCCCCGTTCATGCTCTGTCTCTCTCTGTCCCCAAAAAATAAATAAACGTTAAAATTTTCTTTTTAAATCTAGGTGCTGTGCATGTGGCTGTGCATTAGACTTTTTCTAAAGGCTGTAAGTTTTCACCACGGAGGGAAGAGAAACACTACGTGTGAGAGATTAAAGAGTACTTCTTGTACATTCCTATATGTTTGCTTTAAACACCTTCTCATTAGGGTTCGATACATATAAAATAATGTCGGTAGCACATAGAAAGAGGCATTGTGAGATCATGGACGACCTCAAAGCCGCTGCTGACACCGCCAGCAGCGGTGTTTATCATTTTTTTGTGAAAAAACATCAATTTTGTGTTTATCATTCCTTTGCTTTAACTCTTAATTCAGGTGTCACTGATCCGCAGTTAGTGCGCTCATCTTTTTACTTTTTTATTTTTTTAATGTTTCTTTACTTTTGAAAGAGAGAGAGAGACACACACAGCGCGAGTGCAGGAGGGGCAAAGAGAGGGGGAGACACAATCCGAAGCGGGCTCCAGGCTCTGAGCTGTCAGCACAGAGCCCGACGCGGGACTGGAACTCACAGACCATGAGATCATGACCTGGGCTGAAGTCGGATGCTTTAACCAACGGAGCCCCCTAGGCGCCCCAGTGCAATGATCCTAAGGATAATTTCACAGACGTGTTCAGTGTACCCAGTGCCCTCTGCAAGACGCAGGGTTTTCCCGGACCCCAGAAGCTCTTGGGTGCCCTCATCCCTCCCTGCCAGAGAACTATCGTGGCCTCTTTCTGTGTAGGTGAGGGTTACCTGGTCTTGGGCTTTGGAAAAGTGGGTCGTACGGAGCCCACTGTGCCTGGCGCCTTCCAGAGAGCATCACGTCTGTCAGATGCACCCACGAAGTCGCGTCACTCGCTGGCTGCCGCAAAGCAACGCTCACGTGTGTGTAATGTGCACCTGTGTGTGTGTGTCTACGCGTGCGTGTGTCTGTGGCTGTATTGCTTGTTTTTGAACTTTGGAAAACTGGCATCCGAGCTTCAGGGCGCACGGCCGGAGGCCCCGACGGAAGTGCTCCGTGCGGGGCTCCCGCGCCACCTACAAGCCTGTAAATTGTACGTGATGGACAGTCACGCAAATCCGTTCTTATCCACCGTGTCCCGCTGATCTCCCCCCTCCACCCCCACGGAAAAACCCAGATTTTCCTCCATGTACTTACCCATTTCAGTGTTTTTTCTAAGTTTATTTATTTTGAGAGAGGGAGAGAGAAAGGGAACGCCAGCAGGGGAGGGGCAGAGAGAGAGGGAGAGAGAATCCCAAGCAGCCTCCACGACCCCAGCAAAGAGCCCGACTCGGGGCTCGAACCCACAACCCTGGGATCGTAACCTCAGCCCAAATCAAGAGTCAGACGCTCAACCGACTGAGCCCCCCGGGCGCCCCCAAGAGTGCCTTTTAATCTTCTTCTCAACTTTCTAACAGCTGCCTGGTTTCCTCCTTGAGCAAAATCCTTAACACCTCTTCGTTTTTATAGCTCTGTGAGTCATGGTGTTCCCTGTTTTGACCGTCTTGTAACGAGAGCACATGTGGCCTTCCGCCCGCTCTCCTCATGGCACGTGGTGTGGACGAGCCCCGTGTCTGCCGCCTCCCATGGCGGCTCGTCAGCCGGGCACCTCCTGTCTCCTCTTCTGTGACGCGTCTGCTGTGTCCCGGCCCGCCAGGCCACGATGGAGGAGATCGCCTGGAACACGCCTGGAATGGAGTGGGCGCTAGGCAAACAGCTGCGCGGTGAATGGACGTGCGGAGGTGTGTCTGCCGGACGCACGCGGCCAACACTTCTTGAGGCCTCAGGACCTTTGCTCGGCACCAGGCGGGTAGGAGAGGAAGGCTGAAGGGGCCCTGGGCTGCCAGACGTCTCCAACTCGGGGAGGGGAGGGCAAGGATGGAAGTCCTGTCCTTCTCATGTCTGTCCTCCCCTCTCCTTGTCCTTCTGTGCTGCCCAGAGTGGAAGCCCACAGGCCACTCACAATGGCCCCTCGATGTGCGTTTGGAAGAGGAGGCTGGAAATCGAAGCTCCTGTTTGGGGTGTGTTGGAGGTGACTGGCCCCTGTGCGGTGCGGGAGGTCCTCCTTGCTGGGCTGCTCACCGTGTCCGTGGGTCCGTGTGCTCGGGTTGTTCTGACCGTGGCACCTGGGGAGGACGGTCCTGGGTCGTCCCTGAGCCCGGTTTCACCCTGCGGACCGAGTGTAGGGCTGCGCGAGACAACACCGGAGTCGGGGCCCGAGAACTGCTTAGCGGATGCCCTGCTTTCCAAACCCCTAAGCGCGTTCTCCAACCTCCCCCCGCCGAAAGCCCCTTTTCATCTCCTCTCTGGTTCCCCCGCTGACAAGTGATAACTCTGGCACGTGGTCCAGATCAACCTGCGGGAGACGTGGCTTTCACGGGGGTGGCGGCCGAGCCCCCGTCCAGCCCCGGCCCAGCCTCGCTGCTGAGTCCACACCCGGACAGCCCTGGACTGACCCGGGACAGGGCCCATCTCCTCCTCCCCGCTCCTCCCTGGACCAAGGCAGGCCTGCAGGCCCGGGGTCTCAGACCCACTGCCTCAGGAGCTCGGCAGGGGCCTGTGTAGGACCAGGAGGAGCACGGGGACTGCAGAAGCCACTTTAGGCACATTTGCGCTTTTGAGCACCTGGTGCCCATGCGTCCAGGACGGGGGTGGGGGGTGCGACTCCTCTGCTCCAGCCTGGAGGCCACACCGGGGACCCCACCCCAGGCCCAGCCACCGGGGCAGCAGGTGGGGAGGGGACGGGGCGGGGGCTCACGGAGTGGGTGAGGAAACACCCCCGCGCACGAACCCCCAGGGGAGGGAAACTGGGGTCTCAGCGAGAATGTGTGCAGAATGTTCACGTCCACGGCCGCTCGCTCTCCGTGGCCAAAAGGAGGGACCCCCTCCCCCAACATCGCTGTCCGTCCACGGATGAACAGAGAAACAAAACGTGGCACAGCCCCACGAGGAACAAGGAACGGACTCTGATTCTCTCTGCAGCACCTGGAAAGACACATCACGTGGCAGCAGCAGACACGAAACACCTGCTGTCGTGCTGTCTCTGAGCCCAGACACCTGGAGGGAGCAAGTGCACGGGGGACCTGCGGGAACGGGAACGGGTGGCCCAGGACCGGGTCAGGTGAGCGGCCCAGGGCTAAGACTTGGAGCAGAAGCAAAAGCCCCCGGCTCCCAGCCCCTGACTGTTTGAGAGGTGGGAGGGGAAGGCCCAGAGGCGGAGTGGCAGGTGGGGGAGGGGCAGCTGGAGGCTGGCCTTTGGGGCCGGATCCGCCGGAAGAGCAGAGTCCAGCCTGAGCCGGGCAGCTGGGATTGCATCAGGGTCCAAGCTGCCGCGGCCTGGAGCTCCCCGGGCCGTCCTGGGTGACGGAACCCCGGCCACCTCCCGGGCGGTGATGAGGGGCGGCAGATCCCAGGACACACGGACATCCGTGTGTCAGCTCTCAGCCTTGGCTGCCCGTGCGGACCCCTGGGGGCTCTGCTCCTCCTGGTTCTGGCACCCGGTCAGCACCCTGTCCCCTTTGCAGGGCACCCAGCGTCCCCACACCACACCAGCCCGGGACGTGCAGATGTGCGCACAGAGGTGCCGGTGCCCGAGAAGCGAGCCTCACGATAAATCCGTGCACCGCGTGGGCTGTCGCAGGGACCTTCCAGTGTCCTTGCCCGTGCCCCCTCCCCCCCCCCCCGCCCCGTTCTGTGGCCGCTCGGTCTCTGAGGCAGCGAGAGCAGTCATATTGCCTCCTTATCACCCCTCCACGTCTCAGTGCATCGACGCCCCAAGGAAAGCCTGTCAGCAGGGCACCTTCTGGGGGGCCGTTCGCTCCTCGAGCTCTGCCCTCTCCCCGCTCCCCCTTGTGCTGCTCCCAAAAGCCGCTGTGTTACCCTCCCCTTACTGGCTGGCCCTTCCCGCTGCACCCCCTGACCACGGGGTGCCGGCCTCTCCCGGCCGCAGTCCACCCACAGAGACTTAACACCATGACGCCACGGCCCCCAGCGTCCCTGACGCCTGCTTCCCCTCCCTGGACGACAGATCAAATGATCGATTCATTAAATCGAAGCCATGGCCTGGCCGGGTGGGAGGAGGGACCCCTGCATGCGGCTGAGTCGGCATCTGTCACTTGTACATTCACTCGACAAACATCGGGTGAGCCAGGTACTGTTGTGGGTGCGGGGCCACAGCACGCAAGAGACAGGCCGAATCGTTGCGGTCTAGTAGGAGGAAAGACAGCCGGCCAGACACAGGGGGAATTTATAAATATATAAACGGACCACGGAGGGGGGGCTCAGAGTGGTGTTGCCGCACGGGTGACGTCAGACACGGAGTTTTGCACGCAGGAGGTGCGAGGCAGGAACAGGCCTGGTGGTCTGGGGTGAGGCTGGACGGAGCGGCCCGGGGAGGGAAGGGGACAGTGAGGGCAGGGCCACTGTGAGGATTCGGGGGTCAGGGCAGGGGCCCGGTCTGGTGGGCGTTCCACAGGCCCCCGTGGCTGCCACGTGGGGAACACAGGCCGGGGCCGGTGCAGTGCAGGGGACCAGTCAGGGCTGCTGGAACATTCCAGGCAGGGCGGAGGGGCACACCCGGGTGTGTCTGGAAGGTGGAGCCGGGACCGCGCGCGGACTGGGCGGGAGGTTTGTGAGAAAAGGTGATGAGGCGTCGCCTGAGTACGTGGAAAGTGGCCTGTCCTCTGCCGGGAGGGACAGGCTTGGGGAAGCTCGGGGCCCTGGTTTTTCCCCCGTGATGCTGGAGCCAAATGGCCGGTCAGATCTTCCAAGGTGGGCGCGGTGGTTTCCTCGGAATGCAGACGGCACTCGATTGCCCAGGAGAGGTGGGTCTGTCCCCTCCCTTGGCTCAGTGGCCCGAGACCGTGGCAGGAGCCAGCCCACCGACCCCCTGACGAGGTCTCCTCACTGGTGCGCTGTGCCCCGGCTCTCGAGGTCTCGCCCTCAGCCCCAGCTGCCACCTGGCCGCAGGTCCCGACAGCCGCCAGGGGAGAACCGCTCGGCCGCACCCCGGTGACCAGACACAGGACAGAAGTAGATTGGCATCGCTGCTCTAAGCCACAAGCTTTGGGCGGCCTGTCACGGTGTCCTGCCCGGAGAGAGGGCAGCTGGCACCAGGTTCGGTCTGCTTTGCTTTTCTCTCATTTCTCCGGAAGCGCCAGGGTCCTGCCACCCTTTGGAGGCTCAGGGAGGGCCACCTGGGCCAGCAAGGGCCCGATTCCCGGCGGGGGCCAGTGGCTGCGACCCACGGGGGCCTGCGGACGCCCTGGGAGCTGGGAGGAGCCGGCCGGCCCTGGTTCTGACTCTGTCACTCGTGCGGGTGCTGGCTCGGTCCCCAGAGCCGTAGAGGAATGTCTGCTCACCATCTTTGGGCCCAGCATCAGGTGCCCCCCCCCCCATCCACACCCACTGGGACACAGGGAGAGCACAGGAGTCGAGCTCACTCTCAGAGCGTGGCTGCCTGGGTTTCGCTCCCAGGCCCCTCGCCCGCGGAACTCACTGCCCTGCCCTGAGCCTCGGCCTCCTCTTCCAGAAAGCAGGCGCGACCACATCCCTCCCTTCACGACATCTAGAGGATCCAAATGAGTTTGTGTTTGTATTTGTAAAGTGCGAAACGGGGCCAGAACGATACATTGTGATTACTCCTTGGGGTGACGAGCCCCCCAGAGCTCCCTAAGCCCCCAACCTGCTCCCAGGAAAGTGGGCGGAGAGGGCAAGGTGCAGCTGAGGTCTGAGTCTGGCCTGTGGCCCACGCTCCTGTGTGTTCGCACCGAACGCCGGGGTCCTCGTGGGAAGCCCCGCCCCCAGCGGGATGGCATCTGGGTGGTTAGAGTGGACGCGAGGTCACAGAGGTGGGGCCCCCGTGGGACCAGGACTCGCTCTTTCCCGCACGGGCACACCGCAGGGACCCGCCGTCTCGCCGGCACCTGGCCGCAGACCTCCAGCCTTTGCAGCGCGGTCGGGCCCGTCTGCGGTGCTGGCCACACAGCCCGAGCTAAGCCCGTGCCTCCGTTTCCCCCACCGCAAGGTGGGAGCCGGAGCGGCTGCGTCCTGGCCCCTGAAGTCACCCCTGTAGGTGTGTTTTGTAAACTTGCCGCCCACGCTCACGTGGTCGTCAGGTGGACGCCAGCCGGCACCTGGGCCGGGAATGTGCCGTGAGCGCGGCCGTCCTCACCTGGGCCGCCAGCGCCCTGACCTTTCCTGAGGGGTCTCTGGGTCTGTCACACGGCTGCTGGTCACCTGGGGCGGGGGGCAGTTCTCCAGGCAGGACCGGCACAGCCCGCGGTAAAAACAGAGACTGGCTGAGAAGCCAGAATTCAACACAAGCCTCCGGATGTCTGAATGGTGACTCCCCTAAAACACAGAGACTGTGCGGGCAGGATCTCCTGGGACCCCTGCTGCTGCTGCTGCGTTCGCGGGACGCAGAACCGGCGGGAAAGTTTCTGGAAAGAGCGTTTGGCTTCAACACGGCAGTAAGACCACCGCCCGCACTGAGAGCCTCGTGGACCTGGTCCAGGCCGCTGTGCACCTGGGGGGGCCTGGGGCAGGTGCCCCCGGAGCTGCCGGCCCACGCAGGGGGGCCACTGGAGGGGCATCCTCGGTGAGCAGGAGGCAGCTTGTTCCCACCGGAAGGACCGGCAGAGCCCCTCCCAGCTCTGAGGACCAGCTGGCACACACATGGATGGGGACGCAGCCCCATGTGGCCCGGTGGGGGGGGGGGCGGGCAGTGCACCCGCACATCCCCGCATCCCCGCATCCGCGTCCTGGTGGGCTCCCCACCTGCCTCTTCTGCTGGGTGTCGGGCAGGGGTGCGGGTGCGGGGCTGGAGGAGCCTGCGCTCTCCTGAGACGTGCAGACATCTGTGCCCCTCCCTAGAGCCAGTGTGTGGGGTTTTGCTCAGAGGGAATCGTGGGCGGCCCTGTCCTCCTGGGCTCCCCCCACCCCCGCCACCTGACATTCACACCCGCTGCTCCCGCCCTGGCCTGCCTCTTCCCTCTGACTGTACAACCAGCTCCCCCCCGCCTTGTTTCTGCCCCTCCTACTCCGGGCAGCCTTTCTGGGCCCCCAGGAAAGCCATGTCTCACTTACAGGGGTGGGGGGTTAACACTCCCCCCCACCCCCCCGCCCCACAGTGATCTGATCATAGGAGCGGGGCCAGGAATCTGCATTTCCACTAGGCCCAGGTGACGCTGTGTAGGAAGCACTCGCTGTAACCAGGCCCGGTAGGCCCTCCGGGCACCGGCTTCAGGGCCAGTGAGAACCCTGAGACCAGAGGGACCTCCGCTCCCTGCACAGGGTCTAACACCTGGGGCGACAGTGGCTTCCATTAGGAAGGAAAGGGCCGCAGGGGGCTAGGCCTCGGGGCGGGGGGGGGGGGGGACCCCGGCGGGGGGGCGGGGGGGGGTAGGCCGTTCAGGGGAGGGAGGGCTAGGCAGCTGGGGTGGGGGCGTAGGCCACAGGGAGGGGTGGCTAGGCCGTGGCGGGGGAGGCTAGGTCACAGGGTGGGGGCTAGGCCACGGTGGGGAGGGGGCTAGGCCACAGGCGTAGGGAGCAGGCTAGGCCGTGGGAAAGGCGGTCTCTCCTGGCTGGGCCGCACAGCTCCCAGTCGCTGGATCTCTGGGCGGGAGGGCCGTCCCTGGACCGGCGCCCAACTGCCTCCTTGCACTTCCTGTTGGGAGGCTCCCTGGTTTTGGCAGCTGGCATCCCGGATGCCTCACCGAGAATGGGTGCTGGCGCGTTCTGCACGTCCGCTCTGAGCAGTGCGTGCACGCAGGGAGGGGCTCCGTCGATGAGCCCCAGGCAAATGTGCCAGAGCCTTGGTCCTAAGACCTGCCCCGGCCCCGCCTGCTGGCAGCAGGCTCATTCCCCCCCGCTGGGCCTCAGCTCCCCCATCTGTGAAATGGGTATAAGGACCGAGGGACAGGAGGGTCGGGGGGCGCTGGACGGGTAGGTGTCGGGGATCTCCAGGGGAGGGAGCGAGCGCCACACGGGCCTTCCTGGAAGCCCCCGCCCCTCCAAAGTGCAGTTGCGCCTGGGGCCAGGGCCGCATGGCCCCTCCAGGCCCCAGAGGACCCCCACCCCGCGGCTCCTGCCTGCAGTGCACCAGGGAGCTGAAGCTGAGCTTACGGAGCAGGGAAAGGTCGTGTTTGTTTGAAATGCATCAAGAGACCCCAGCTTGGGGGACTCCTCTGCTTCCCTGTGCAGGCAGCTGCAGGCCCGCAGGGACTGGGGACAAAAGCCCCCGTGGGCGGGAGCACCAGGGGCAGCAGTATGGACGACAGACGGGGCTGGTGGTGCTGGCCGGTGGGGCTGGGGGCAGCGTGGCCACCGAATGCCCTCCCGTCCCCAGCCCTGCGTCCCCTGGCTCATCAGCTGAGTTCTGTGCGATCCAGCTGCCTGCTCGCCGCAGGGACGCTTCCTGTCCCCAGCCCGGCCTTGACAGAGTGTCCCCAACTCACAGATGGCAGTCAGGCCACTTCGTGGCAGAAAAGGAAGGACAGGTGGTAGGTTGCTTTTCTGCTCTTCTGCGGCTGAGCCGCCCGGGGGCGGCGCCCTCTGCTGGCCTCCTGCCAGTCCGCAGGGGCACGGCCAGGCCGCTGCTCAGGGCCGGCAGTGCGTTCGGATCTGCAAGGCCGGGGCCACTGAGGAACTCTCGGTCCGGGCACTGCAGGGGTGGGGGCGCTGGTCCTTGCCCTGAGGCCCACTGCGACCCATCGGCTCTGTCACCACAGGCCGGCGGCTGTCAGAGTGCCGGGGGCCGTCGACCACAGCGCAATCAGGGGCAGCAGGAGAGTGGCCGCCAGCAGTGGGCCCGAAGCCCCCGGGGGAGGGGAGGCGGGGGAGGTGCAGGAGCAGACCTCGAAGCCGTCCTCTGAGCGGCTCTGGCCACGCTGTCCTGGCCGGGCGTGGGCCCCGGCCTCTCCTTCCTCGCCCTCCGGGTCCGCCTGTGGGTCTGTGCAGACCAGCCAGTCCTGCGCTGTGGACCGCGGGTACCCGGGTGCCGCCTCCAGCTCGCCTTCCACCACCTTCCAGTACTCCTTGCCACGGAAGAAGTAGGCAGCACCTGGGGGGGGGGGTGGGGAGGGGGCGTGAGCTCCGGGCAGGCCACAGGGCAGACTCAGGCTAGACAGCGGGACGACGAGGGAGCGGCGCTCGAGGCCGCAGGGAAGTGGGAGAACGGCTTACGCCACGGATAGTCTGTCTCGGCCCCAGTGGCCGTCCGCAGGCCCCTGGGGCCTCCCACGCCTGGGAAAGCTCGGGGCAGCCGCAGAAAGGCAGGGAGATAGACAAGATGACCTCTCGGTTTCTCTCCCTACGGGATGTTAAGTGAGGCCCTACTATGTGCCTGGCTGTTCTAGGTGTTGGGGATGTAGCTTTGGAAACAGAACAGCAGGGGGCATCTGGCCCCCCCAGAGCGGGCCCCGCAAGGAGGGAGATGCATGCGACCCTTTGCCGGGCAGGGTCGTGCTGTTTGGGCTGGAAGCACGTGAGGGAGGGGGCGTGCAGATGTCTGGACGGTGTCTGCCGGATGCAGGGCAGGTGCAAAGGCCCAGGGGCGCGTGAGACGCAGCAGGAGGCCTATGGCGGTGGGGGGCCCACGTGCGCGCAGCGGCTCCCGGGGGATCCTCCCAGTGAGCCCGCTGTGACCCCCGTTCCCCAGGTGGGGAGCCTGAGGCTGCACGGGGCTCACCGTCGGACCAGCGCATGGCATCGTCGAGCGTGCTGGGGATGCCCCTCCACGGGGGGCTCTGGGCGGGGTGGCCGGGGTCCATGCGCCGTGTGTGCTCATCAAAGCGCCAGTACAGCTGGTCCTTAAAGAAATAAGTCTTGTCATTGTGGGCCCAGGAGAAGGCAGCGTCGACGCCGCCCGGCGGGAGGCCGAAGTCTGAGACGGGCCGCGGGTATCCTTCCTCTACGTTATTGTCCTTAAATACCCAGTATCTGTCTCCTGGGGGTGAGAGAGAGGGCCGTGGGCCAGAGCTCGGACCGCCCCGCGGGGCGGACGCTCCAGCCCTTCCTCCCCCCCCCCGCCCCCCCCCCCCCCGGTGCAACCGCCCCCCACCCCGGGGTCCTCATGAACATTTACTGAGCACCTATTGTGTGCCTGGCACGGGCTCGGCCCACCTGCCAGCAGCCTGAGAAGCCAGGTTCTCACCAGGCACCCGCCATAAGGACAGGGAACGGGGTCACCAGCCAGCCCGCGGGAGGCCGCTCTGCTCAGTCGCGCCTCACCCACTCCTGCGACAGGCGGGCCGGGGTGTCCTCACGGGCAGGGCAGAAGGGCACTCGTCAGGGCCGTAGGCGGACGCATGCGTGCGCACCTTTGTCAGACTTCACACAGAAGCAAAATGTTTAGAAATCACCAAGAACTTCAAATCCATATGTAAAAATTAAAAAAAAAAAAACAGTTTAAGATATAAGGAGGAGGAGGAGGAGGGGGAGGAAGAGGAGAAGGGGGGGAGGGGGAGGAGAATGAGGAGGGAGGAGGGAGGAGAAAGAGGAGGAGGATGGAGAGGAGGAGGGTCGGAGGGGGAAGAGGAGGGGGAGGATGAGGAGGAGTAGGGACGAGGGAGGAGAAAGAGGAGGGAGGAGACAGAGGAGGAGGAAAAGGAGGAGGAAGGGGGAGGAGGAGGAGGGGGAGGAGGAGGAGGAGGGGGAGGAAGAGGAGGGGGAGGGGGAGGAAGAGGAGGGGAAGGAGACAGAGGGAGGAGGGGGTAGGAGGAGGGAGGAGGAGGAGGGGGAGGAAGAGGAGGAAGGAGGAAAAGGAGGAGGAGAGGAGGAGGGGAGGAGGGGGAGGATGAGGAGTAGGGACGAGGGAGGAGAAAGAGGAGGAGGAGACAGAGGAGGAGGAGGAAGAGGAGGTGGAGGGGGGAGGAGGAGGAGGGGGAGGAAGAGGAGGAGGGGGAGGGAGAGGCGCACGAGGGGGAGGGGGAGGGAGAGGAGGAGGAGAGGAGGGGGAGGAGGAGGACGTTTAAAAGCGTTTTGCCAGAAGGGTGCCTGGGGGGCTCAGTCGGTTAACCATCCAAATCTTCAGCTCAGGTCACGATCTCAAGGTTTGTGAGTCCAAGCCCCACGTCGGGCTCTGCGCTGACAGCGTGGAGCCTGCTGGGGATTCTCCCTGCCCCTCTCTCTGCCCCTCCCCTGCATGCTCTCTCTCTAAATGAACTTTTTATAAAAAGTCTTTTGCCAGACAAAGAGTTGGAACGGACGTTTCTCGGAGGAAGACATTCGAACGGCCGACACACAAATGAACAGATGCTCAACCTCACTAATTAGGGAAACCAAAGCCAAACCCCATGAGACACCATCGGACGCCCGTCAGGATGGTCACTATCAAAAGACCCGAAAACACCCAGTGCTGGCGAGGATGTGGAGAAGGGGAGGCCTGTTCTGCCGCTGCTGGGAAGGCGAGCCGGTGGGAGACAGCGTGGAGGGTCCTCAGAGTCGAACACAGAGGGCCCACTCGCCCCCTTCTGGGTCGGTACACGGAGCCGAAGGCAGGGTCTCAAAGGTACTCGCGCACCCGTGTTCACAGCAGTGCTGTTCACGGCAGCCAAGACGTGGGAGCCACCCAAGTGACCACGGTGGACGATGGCTAAGCGAGACGTGGTCCATCCAGACGACGGAATGGCATTCGGCCTTGGAAAGGAAGGACGTGCGGCCACCTGCCATGGCACACACGTGGACCTTGAGGGCACGACGCTACGGGAAACGAGCCGTCCCAAAGGACAAGCGTTGTAGGACCGCACGCGTCTGAGGCACCCGGCCAGATCCACAGAAAGTAGACGGTGGGCGCCAGGGGCTGGGGGGCTGGGGGGCAGCTTCCGTTCGGAAAGATGGACAAGTCCTGACGGCGGACGGTGGTCGTGGCTCCGCGCGGCGTGAAGGTGCCTAACGCCTCCGATCTGTGCGCTTAGAAGTGCTCGCGACGGTAGCTTCTCATGTTGTGTTTTTGCCACGATTAAAAGTAAACATAATTTTTTAAGAATCCTTTCCCACAGACAGGGAACGGCAGACGTGCCCGAGAAGGGGCGGGGTGAAGCAACGGTGAGCCCCCACGACGGGCCCCAGACGGCCGAGACAGGGCGCGGGCGTGCCCACAAAGCAAGGGGCAGGAGAGGTCAACCTCTCCCCGCGACCCGAGGAGCCGGTGACCTTAGAGGGGAGAAAATCTCGCAGATGCGCGGCCCGGCGGGGGGGGGGGGGGGCAGGGCACAGCGCCAGACAGATGACGCCTCGGGCAGGGCAGCTCGGAGCGCGTCCCTCTGGGACGGTCCTGCTGAACGTGCAAAACCAGAACCTGCTGGGGAGAAGCTGCCAGGTGACGTGCCCGAGGGGCGCCGGCCCGGACGCTCCAGACGCGCCCGGGGTGTGTTGGGGGGGGGGGGGACGCGGGGGGAAGGCTCCGGCGTGTGCCACCCCCTCTTTGACCAGCAGGGGCATAAACCGTCCGCGGGAAACGAGGAAGCGAGCAGAGCGGAAGGCTGACAGGGGGCGAGCCCGCGGCCTTCAGGTCCTGCTTTCGCAGCTTTCCTGGAAGCCGGACGTTACTTTTCAAAACCCAGGTTTGAGGACCGAGAAGACTCTGCGTAGAGACAGGAAGGAATCTCCAAGATCTGTCACGTGAGAAGAGGGGAGGCCGGCGCGCACAGTAGGGCGGAGAGAGAGGAGGGAGTTGGGAGGAGGGAGGAGGGAGGAGGGTGGAGGGAGGAGGGAGGAGGGAGGGCGCACGCGCGCACACACCGCCCACTTGGCGGACGGTCCCTCTGAAAGGCGGTGCCCCGCGGGGCTAAGTCAGGTGCGGGTGGCTCCCATTTGTAACAGATCGGCTAGGACGTGCGCCGTTCTTCCTGTTTTGCTTTTTGGTGAACGTTGAAATCACGGCTGCCGCCTCCAGGGAGCCCTCCCGTGTGCCAGGCTCCCGATGGCCACTCGGCCCGAGGATGGGGACTCTGGGGGGACCACACCCACCGGAGGCAGCGGTGACTGACAGGTGCCCCACCTGGACCGGGGGCTGGCAGGTGACGTGAACGAGCTCAAAAAACACGCGGAACGTTCTTGCCTCCTCAAAGAGGTACGGTCGCCCCAATTTTGTTCAAAGAGCTGCTGCAGGTTGAGCAATGCTCCCCCAAATTCACATCCGCCTGAACCTCAGAATCTGACTTGTTTAGAAACAGGGTCTTTGCCGCGAGATGAGTTAAAAGGAAGTCATGTGGGAGTGGGGGGCGGGGGAGGGCGCATCCGCTGACTGGTGTCCTTCTACAAAGAGGACGCACAGACCCGAGACCCACGGAGGGGAGCAGCCCGATGAGACACAGGCAGGGGCGGGAGGGGCTGGGGCTAAGTCTCCCCTGCAGACTAAGCAGGAACCGGCCCGGCACCTCGATCTGGGGCATGCGGCCCCGGCCGAGAGAACGAACCCGTTGCTTCACACCCCCCATTTGTACTTTGCGACCGAAGCCCGAAAACACAAGTGCCAGCTCGTGCCTCAGCCGTCCCTGCCCTCCGCATGGGATGCGCATAGGGGGCGGGCTGTGAGGGCTTCCCTGGAAGGGGCGCCAGGCCGCATCTGTTCCAGCACAGGCGGGGCGGGGCGAGGGAGGGGGGCGCGGCACTCCGAGACTCCAATGCAGGAGCCGTGGGCAGATGTTGCAAAATAACCCAAACCCAGAAGATGACACCGAGCGGGTCCCAACCCCGGGACTGTGGCCTCGGGCAGCGGCCCTGGAGCCAGCAGGGGCCCCGGGACCTGGGAAGCCCGGTCCAGGGCAGCAGGCGTGACCGGGAAGGCTCACAGCCCCCGAGGCACCCACAGGTGCAGGCACGCCGCCCCCACACAGACAGCAACGCCCGCCAGCCCAGGTCCCCGCGTCCCGTCCCGCCCCCAGAAGCCCGCCCCCCCCCCCCCCCCCCAGCCCAGGGAGCGGGTGTGGAAGGTGCAGTGACGCCCTCTCCCAACAGACCCGCCATCCTGGACAGACACGTGGGAGCTGCGCGTGGCTCCACGCATCGAAGATGAGTCCAGCTCCTTCCCTCAGGTGTTGACCTTCCTTTCTGTCCTCGCTCACCCTCCCTCCGCCCCCTTGGCCGCTCTGTTCTTGCCCCGGGGCCTTTGCACTGGCAGCTCCCTCTGGCTGGAGCACGTTCCCTCAGCCCTAACTGAAACTAACTTCCTCATTCACGCAGGTGCTCGTCGTGTGTGCCCTGTGGGAACAGGGCGGGGACCTTTGTCTGTTTTGCCCGCCGTGTACCTGCAGTGCCTACCGCGGTGCGGAGGACACAGTAGGTGCTCAGTAAGCGTGCATCGGTGGCGTGCACAAAGGAGTGGGCCGGCCCCTGCTCTGTGCTTGGCGCAAACCACAGGCCGGGCCTCCGGGGCAGAGGCGGGCTGGGGTGGGGGGTGGGGGGGCCCACCAGCAGAGACCCAGGCAGAGCACCCGGGCGGGGCCCGCCCACCTTTGAAGAAGACGATCTTGTGGTCGCTGGTGCGCTCGAACACGGCGTCCACGCCGTCCAGGTGCAGCGGAAGGCCCCGCCAGAAGCGGTGCATCTGCGCGGGCTGCAGCGACACCAGGTGCCCGTCGCGGGTCAGCCGCCAAAAGTACCTGCCTGGGGGCACGGAGAGGGGGTGGGGCTGCAGGGGGCAGGTCTGGGGCCCAGAGCTGCCCTTCCATCCGGTAGCCACTCACTGGACCGGGTGGGGGTTACCTTTGAAGAAAAAGGCCTCGCCGCGGATCTGGGCCACCGCGTCAAAGTCAGTGCTGCAGCGGAGAGGCACGTCCTTCCTGGGTCTGGGGGCAGAGAGCAGGGGGAGGGCTGGAGGAGGGGGCTGGGGCAGTGAACAGGGGGAGGGGAGGGGAGGGTGGGGGCTGGGGGGGCTGGGGGGAGCCTGCGTTCCCGAGCCACTCTGGGGGAGTAGGGCTTCACAAGCCCCAGAAGGACCTCCCTTAAGGAGACCCCGCCCCACCCCCGTCATTTGCTGCAGGCTCAGAGACAGTTGCGTTCTGGTTTGTCAACTATACGCCAAGTAATAAAAATCAAAGCCCGAGTCCCTTTTGCGCCATCCAGAGTGGCCGACACAGAGCACGGAGCGAGCGGACATCAGGAGCATCTGGACAGACAGACGTTCTCGCGCACGGGGCGCAGGTCGGGGACAAAGGGCGGGCGGGTGTCCTTCCGCCGTCCGGAGGAGTGTAAGGAAGGCGGGGTGGCTCAGGGCTTAGCCCCGGGAGCGCCGGGAGTCCAGGCCCCTGAGCCATGGCTGGGGGAGGTGCTGGCCACAGCGTGCAGGGCAGGGGCCCATGGCTTACGGGGTGCCGGACCGGTTGTTGGGGGGCTCTGGCGGGAGGGGAGGCTCCTCGGGCTCTGGGGTGTCCGGCTGTGCCGTGGGGGACACGGACTCCCGCACGCCTGTGGGGACAGGAGGCTGCGCTGAACCCGGCAGGGCCCCCCTCCCTTCCCGGGACCCCCGACGCGGAGCTGTGGGCCCTGCACGTGCACCAGAGCCACAGCATCACAGCCCGAGGGGGAGACACAGGGGTCCCCGCGACCCCTCCTTAACCTCCAGGGGCTCAATGAGTGTTGCCCCCCACCCCAGACCTCCTCCCGGGTGCAGACCCCAGAGAACCAAGGACAGGCGTGCAAACCAAAACTCGTCTGAATGTGCACAGTAGCCAGAGGTGGAAACAATGCACATGTCCACCCACAAGGGGACAAACAGAATCTTTGGTCATAAAGAGAAAGGAAGCGTGGACCTGGGGCGTGGACAGGGCGCTCGGTGAGAGCAGCTGGGCACAAGAGGGCCCACGGCGTGTGGTCCCAGTTGCACGAACCGTCCAGAAAGGGCACAGCCGTGGACGTGGACAGAAGGGAGGTCAGTGGCTGCCAGGCAGTGTAGGGGGGTGACTGCTGATGGCCGTGGGGTCTCCTTTGGTGGGGGGTGGTGACAAGTGTTGTGGAACCATGCAGAAGGGGCAGATACACAACCCTGCGAACGTGGCCAATGCCACCGGCCTGTACTCGTCAAAGGGGTTAACATGGTAGGTTTTACTCTAGTAGGAAAGTGCCCATGTCAGAGCCTGGTGGACACCGGGGCGCTCACAACAGCAGGGGAGGGGGGTTAGGAGAGGTGGAAAGTATGCTGGTGCCATGGGGGGGCACCTGGGGGTCGTGGGGGGCACCTGGGAGTCATGGGGGGCAGCCTGGAGTCATGGGGGG